TTCTGATCCACACAAAACAAAAATAATTGTTATCACCAATTAAAATACGCTCTCCCGAATTTAATCGGTGACAATAGTAATAATCTATAATTTTTATACCACAGTAACAATGGCCCATTTCTTACCAAAACTAGAATGGAGACCATGATTGAATTTTATCCATTTCATACATGCTATGTTTAGATACAGCTGGTCAGTTATTGTTACATATTCATAGATGTACCACAAAAATTTATACATTTAAAGTTTCTATTTGCAATACTGAGCTTGTATATGAATAATTGTCTAATTCGGAAATTTAAAAAAATTGGATATAATTTGGAAATTCTTTTACTAAATAATCAGGTTTTTTAAAAATTGAAACAATTGGTTGTGACCGGCACTATACAAGCATTAAGGACAATATCTATGAACAAATATTCTAACAAATGTTTTATCAATTATTCAATAGTTTGTACAAGCGTCAAGGACAAGATCTATGAACAAAATATTCTAACATACATACATTTTATCAATTATTCAATAGTTTGTACAAGCATCAAGGACAAGATCTGTGAACAAAATATACTAACAAACATTTTATCAATTATTCAATAGTTTGAATGTTTTATCAATTATTCAAATAATATAGGCAGGTTTGAAGCATTAAAGATCTATGAAGCTGTTTCTAAAATATATTTAATGAACATTTTATCAATTATTCAATGGTTTGGTATAGGCATGATCAAAGCAATGTAAATAAAACCATAATTAATAATCATTAATAAAATTTTAATCAATATAAACAATCACTAATAAAATATCTTTTAGTTTTTGCTTGAATCCAATCTACATGAAATTCTTGAAATCAATGTATGTTTTTTTTTGGTTAGCAATGGGGATAATGAGTTACTTTCCTAGGAAAAAAATACCACTTATAGTTGATCATGAACAATTGTTCATGGTAATCATGTTTGTTACATAATGGATATGAAAACACATCACCACCTCAAAATTTCTGCATCATGTCACATGACCATTTAAATTAATTTGAGTTTTGAATGAATATTATGAATATTATAAATAAAATAGATGAAATAAAGATTAGACAGTATATTAATATTAGCAACACATTATACAACTTTTTTGATCTTACAATATTAATATTAATATTTTAAAATCCTCTTAACTTAATAATCATAATTATTTATACCCATATTAATATAGTAGAAATCATTTATTCTTTTTCATGAAAGATGCTGACTGATTCAAGGTAATTATAATGCTACAACTTTTGCCAACTTATATTCAACTCTTGACATGAGATCAACTATTTCATTTCTCATTCAGGTTGCTTGATATAAAGGGATTTTCTTTTAAATATTTTCTATTTATATTCATAGAAATAGATAATAGTTTATTTTAAATTTATTTACATACATTGTTATTTTTTCTTATTTTCTGGAGGAATCTATAGTTAGATGATAAAAAGTCTCTAGCTATATAATTATTCAAAAGAGGGGAAACCTATGCAAAATTTTTTTTGAACTGCGCCACAACAACAATACATCTGCTCAAATCTTTAAGCAATAATAAGAGCTATTAAGCAAGTTAAGTGATTTTTTTTAAATGTTTTGTCTTAATTAAATACATCATGGCAATCAAATTGCCAAACCTCATTAAATTGACATTTAATCTAAATAGTTTTGTGATAAGAGAAAAATTCTTTTTTTAAAAAAAAAAAAGATTTTTGATATCTATTAGAAAATAGAGATTTGAAGGTGTCAATAGTTCCTTGGTGCACATATAATTGTTAGTGATGACAAACTACCTGTTAGTGTTAACAAAAAAAAAAGGAATGATTTGAATTAAATTCCACATAATAATGGTATTTTTGAAAGAGGATATATGGTGTTTTGTGAGGTGAAATTATTAAATAATTGAATCATTAGTTTTTGGATTTGTCAATATGGAATTTAATTGATAGAAGGATAACATTACAGGATAAATTAAGTAAAAAATTTACAGTTATAAATAGAAATTTTAAAGCATATATTAAAAATTTTTTTCCTCAATTATTATTAAGAAAGCAACTCTTATGATTAAAAAAAACCAAAGAGTATCTAACACCAGATGCACTAAAATTACCATGTAGCAATTCATTACTTTGAAAATATATAATATTTCCTCGCTTCAATTCTACCACTAGGTTTATTTCTGGAAACACTAGTTCACCTCCCTCAAATTCACCCAAGGGTACAACCACACACAAACTATTATCAAGATCCTTAATATCACGATGAAGATCTGTTAGTGTGTTGAAGTTGATAACTAACATGGTAAATGTATTGAACAGTTTTTTCACCTATAAAAGTAATAATAATATTATTAATATTCTCCTTAAAATATTAAATTATATATATATAAAAATATAAATAATATTAACCTGTTCGGGAAAAACATTTGATGCCAACTTTTGATACAAACTGGGCCAGTGACTTTGTAATTTATCAGCAATTTGTTGGCAAGTGGTGTGATCCCATTAATCAACTTATCAACACATCTATTATGAATTATTATTTTATTAGTATTAATGATTAAAAAATTTAACTGCATACAAGTTTATAAAGCATTTAAACTTACTTTTTATGTTCAATTCAATCATTGCATAAATAAGCATCAGAATTATATGGTAGTGTTGAGTAAATACGAAAAATACCAAAAGATTCTACATTGTCACTTTTAAATTGTGTTGATTGATGCTTGAGATTTTCTTTCAAATCCATATAATATCTATGGACTGAAAACTCTGCTTGATTTAAAATTTTTAAATCAGATTCAGAAACATCAAAAATTCTTATCAATG